CAGGGCTGCTGTTGGTTTTGGTCATCAGATTCTAATGGGCAATCATAGCACGGACTTCCGTGACCCAGCTTCACAGATGGCGGTCCGAGTTCATATGGTTCCAGAAGAGGCCACATGACCGTAGTAAATGCCACTGACATTGGACTGTACCGCGGCATTCACACTGGGAGTCATGAGTGAGGTTCTGAAATTCCGCTCAGCGTCCGCAAGGCCCAAACCGGGAGGTGGAACCTGTAGGCGAAGGCCATTTGCCATCCTAGCTCTTCTCTTCGGGCCAACAATGTTCCATGCGCCTGTCCCAGTGCCTGGATGGATGGATGGATGGACGGATGGGGAGTCGCTGAGCTGGCAGGTCTGCACAGGCAGCCCACCAGGAGACAGGCTTCGTGAAGCACCTGCAAGAAACTCCCAGGGGCTGGAGGGACAGTGTTCAGAACAGCCAGCCATCCGGAGTCACGCGGGATCGCCGGAGATGGATGGGAGCGAGGGTTCAGGAAGCCCCGTGGAAACCACAAAGCTGGGCCTGAGGCTTTCATGGACGACGATTTAAAAAAAAATTTTTTTTGAAAGAAAAAACAATAACACAGTCATGCTTCCACCTGATAACATACCACCATCCTGGGTACAACCGAAAACATGCTGACCCTGTATTCCCCAGAAGACGGCGTGTGTCCTTGAGACCCTGTGATGGAAACGCCGTGCTGTACAGCCAATTATCATCAGCATCTTATGTTAGGTGACAAGGGGATAGGAGAGGGGAGAAAACACAAGGATTTGATGTACACACACAGTCCTCAAAGAAGGAGGAAACGCTAGCGATGATAGCTCCCGTTTCTGCAGCGGGTCGCACGGGGTGGCTTCCCTCCACGCCCCAGTCCGCGCTCCCTCTGCCCTCAGCAGGCACTTCACCTGCTCGTGGTGCTTGGCCTGGTGGAATGGCCCAAACCTTCATTTCTGAACGCTGTGGGGCTGTGCTGCCTGAATTGGGTTTTTGTAGATTCCCATAGACTTTAATTACACACGAAGCGTCCCGAGGGATGTACAGTGCTCCAGATCTGAAGGAAAGGAGGAGGGGGGTGGGGGGAGTGGAGCGCCAGGGCAGTGGAGGCTGCGTCTCTGACCGTCTGGCGCCCCCCGCAGGCTGCGGACTGAACTACCACAAGCGCTGTGCCTTCAGCATCCCCAACAACTGCAGCGGGGCCCGCAAGCGGCGCCTGTCATCCACGTCTCTGGCCAGCGGCCATTCGCTGCGCCTCAGT